GCCCAGGTGCTCGTCCCTTCCGGCGCGCTCGGGGGCTGGGGGTCGGACCCTACGGGTAGGGGCCGGATCTGAGGGGCCGGGCGTGCTCCCCTAGGTGGGCCGAGGTTCCTCGACCGAAAGCTGTAGTTAGACTTAAGGAGCGGGAGCAGGTACGGCCGTCCGGTCCTCCTCCCTCTGGCGCACGGCCAGCCCGGCCTCGCCGGAGGGGACACCGCAGCCCCCCGGCAGCGCCCTGATGGGGTAGGGAGAAAAAGGGAGGCACTGCTAAAGCACGCTTTTCACTTTTTAGCCTTTTGTGCCTTTGGAGAACTCGGGCCAATATGCCGCTAGTCTTAGTTTCCCTCACCAATACACTGATGGCTTAGCTGAGCAAACTGGTAAACTCAGAAGTAGACACCTTACCATTACATCTTACCAGCTGGATCTGAAATTGCCCGTAAGGGATGGGTTGGGTTTGAGGGACTTCTCAAACAGCTCCTGCCACAGATCTGCTGGGCTTGGCTGGGCCTCACAAATGGGTCGAATGGATTGAGACCAGACTGGTTTATAGCCAAGAGGAGAGGAGCCTTTTTGTAGAAGGAAGTAACAACAGGACACATAACACTCACAGACAGCACGCTGCCAAGCGGTTACTCTGCCAAGTGCTACACCTGTATTAATGCATTGAATCCTCCTGTTATCCAGGTGAGGAAATGGAGGCATGCATCACTTAGTTTTGCTGGAGGAAGTGATACCTGGGGTTCTGAACGGCTGAACCCAAAACAGGAGCAATTAAGAGCTAAGAGCAAGGTGGTCTCATTTTTGCAGGTCAGGAGCCAGCTGGAAGGAGAGATTGGAGGGCCGGGTGGAAAACCGACCTAACTGACCAGTTTCCGGAATTTGGATCTTAAACTGTATTTGTTCCCACCCCACTCCCAAATTCTACCAAGCGGGTGCCCCAAAGCAGGAGGAAGTAAACAGTCTTATAGTACAAACTGCGTGGGGCAAAACAACTGACCACAACAAGCTCCACATCTTGCTGACTGCCAATATTTTATCCGTAAAATGCATGCAGGTATCATTGTATTCTATAATTTCCTTGTTTTCGCTGGTGTAAAGGCATGTTTGCCTTCATTTTTTAGAAGAATGGTGTTTGCAGAAACTGCCCCAGGTTTATCTTGGGATTACCTGCCCCTCGGAGTAGTGGTGTGCTGGGGGCGACTCAGCCCACTTCCGGGGGGGGGCAGTGATTATAATTAATGGAAAGCTAACGAGTTTAAACTGGGAGATAGCATGTGTTAAGTGGTTGTGTGCCAAGTGGCGATGTAAAAAGATTTGTCCAGCAGGAATGTGTAGGATGGACTAGATGAAAACAGTCCAGTCCTGCACACGGAGTAAACTATTAATAAGGATAGTAATGACTTGCATATGCCAAGCATTCTTTAAGTTTAGGCCCTGTGGTGTTGGATCTTCTGGGCACTTCTGCACCCCAAAGTGGATGTTTCACAACTGTTGACTCCGGTTACCTGCACTGCACCTGGAAATCCATCCTCTCCCTGCCTCCTGTCAAACCTGGTGCGTCCCCGAGCTCTCAGCCTACCCAGACCTGCCTACTCCTCTGATCCTCAGTGACCTAGGCTCCATTATCTTAAAACTGACTTGAAGATACCTGTGGTAATTCTCAGCCTTTGCTTTCTGGTTTCTGCCTTTTTTCCTGCCCAAGAACCTTTCGCTGTTTTCATTAAGCCAGAGCTGGGGGTGTGGGGTGGGGTGGGGTTGACCTTCATTAATACCTGACTTCCTCCTCCTCCATAAACTGAGCATGTCCCCTCAGGCAGGAGACACAGCAGTTTCCTTTGTGTTGACCTCAGGGACCCTGAACATCTGATCGCTGCTGAGACTCGACTGCAAGAAGCTGTGGTTGGATCTGTTGTAGTCTCCAAGTTTGAACATGGACAACTCACAGAAAACTTAACATTTCTTATTATCAGTTTTCAAATATGATTAGTTCCTTAAGAATTAAATATGGAAGTAGCATATGATCCAGTTACCCTACTCCTGAGTATATACCCCCCAGAAAATGAATGCAGGAACTCAAGCAGGTACTTGTACACCCATATTCATAACGTCATATTCACAGCAGTCAGAATGTAGGGACCACCCAGTCCTATCCATCAAGATAGATAAACATAACATCCTGTGTACGTACAATGGGCTATTATTTAAAAAAGAAATTAAATTCTGGCACACGTTGCAGCATGGATAAACCTTGAAAACATGCTAAGTGAAGTAAGCCTGAGCCAAAGGTAGTATTTTAGTATGACTCTACCTTTAAAAACATCTTCAATAAGCAAATCGGTGGAAAGTAAGAACAGGCGTTACTAGAGGCTGGGGGAGAAAAATGGAATTAGTAATTAATGTAAATAGAGTTTCAGTGAACATGAATGATGGTAATGGTTGCACACTTTGGTGAATATACTTAGTGATCTCGAAAGGTATACTTGAGATGGTTAAAAAGGTAAATTTTATAAATATTTTTTACCATTGGAAAATACACTTAGGGCTGGTGATATAGTCTTGGGGGTGTTTGACTCCCAGTACTGAAAAAAAGGAGGGGGAGGATATGATCTGTTATATTTCAAATAAAAAAGTAATCTCAACTTTAAAAGAAATGTACCCATTCTTAAAAAAAAAAAAAAGAATAGTCAGGGATTTAGCTCAGCGGTTCGGTGGCCTGCCTTGCAAGCGCAAGGACCCAAGTTAAATCCCCGGTACAAAAAAAAAAAAAAAAAAAAAAAAAAAAAAAAACAATATGTAAGCGCATGGCAGTGAGAATATAAGGCCTATGAAATGGTATGATTTTGGCCAGGCTTTTTAAACATTCATTTTGTGACAGGATCTCGGTAAGTTGCCTAAGCTGGCCTTAAACCTTTAGTCCTTCTGCCTCAGACTCCCAAGCAGCTGGGGTCATCAGAGTGCATGTATTCCTCTTTGTAGGAAAACGTTCTGTTGGATCATTTCTCTCTTTGTGCACCATGACCCTTGTTAGAAAAAAAAAAAAAAAATCCGCACCAGCTGTCAGAGGTCTAGGCGCCAGCAGACTGCTGAGGACAGGCCTAAAAGTACGTCTACATGGATCACAGATGTACCCAGGGGATGGAGAGTGACTGCCCCAGGAGTACCCTGGGTACCCGGCTAGTGAAACTGCTGGTTACTTGAACTGGTGCGTGAGAGATCCACACTAATCTTGTTTGCTTTGGGGCGAGTGTGCACCCTGGCTGTGCCAAGTGGAACTTCACACTGAGAGGCAGAGTACCAAACGGTGCTTGAAAAAAAGTTTTCATAGTAGGGGATGATGTTTCTGTTGTTGCCTCTAATGTACAAATGTACAGTAAGTCATTAAGATGTCAAGTTTCTCTGACTTTGCTGAGAAGCGCATGTGAGCATCTGACTTCTCTAGCTGGCATGTCCTAGGTAAAGAAGTCATGTGTTTTGAACCTCTCTGTTCATAAATTATCAATTCCGAAGATACTCATTGTCGATTATGTCTTTCTCATAGTAATTTTTCAAAGATTAGTTTTGAAAGTATTTTTAAGATTAAACATTCTTGGAGAAATGTGTGTTTTCCAGCTCTGAAATGTGTTTAAAAAAAAAAAAAAAAAAAACAGCATCCATTAATAAATTACACTTAGAGTTTGATATTTTTCATGCTTCTTTTTAGAAAAAAAATTACTTAAAAATTATCAGCAGGGCTTAGACCCAGACATATCTCTGCTGGAATCCTTGTCTAAACGCCTCCTTTCTGCAATAAAGCAATTGCAGTTTGTTGCGCTTTTCCTAGAAGTTATTCCCCAGTTCCTAGCGGGTGGAAGTTCTTTTCCAGTTATTTCAGTACAAATGAGTATGAATAAAAACACACAGAAAGAGTTTTAATCAATCATGGTTAAAAATAAAGGAGTGAGCTGGTGATGGGGAAGTGACACAGACAGCGATGGCCCAGTCAGGTGTGGCCTGGGGAGAAATACCATAGAGGGGTAGAACAGAGGCCCTGAACTCTGCAGCCCTGGCAGACAGACCCCTGAAGACCGGAACAAAGATACCCCTTCTCAGGAATGCTTTTGGAAGCTGAGCCAGCTTCTCCCTTGGCTGCCTCAGCCCACTTTCTTTTTTATTCTCCTTTCTACCTTCACTCCATGTTTCCTTCCTTGCCTCAAACTCCTGCCTCCCTCCCTTCCTTGGGTAGGATTTCAGCAGCCTTTCAAAAGGCAGGACAAGCTTCTGGTCTCTACTTTCCCTGGAGCACCCTGTTTGGGGCTGGTGGGGAGGATGGAAGTCAGCAGAAGTCCCAGGTCAGCCACCAGCCTGGACTCGACTTTGTCCTGTGTGCATGTCCAGCCCTTGTGTAGAACACAGCCCTTCACACTCAATTGCTACTGGTGCAGAACTAGAAATCTTCACCCAGAATCAGAAGAATTGCGTTCTAGGCCTCAGTGCCATCAATTAGATGAGCCATGGGCATCTGCCTGCTGCCACAATCTGGAGCTGTTGGCTCATCTGGAAGACAAGGGTTCTCATTCCCGCTATAGCTGGGGCTCTGACTGCGACTTGTGAGGTCAGAGGTGTTCCCCAGGGCGTATAACCTGGTCTACCAACTGAAAACTACTCTCTGAGAAACCATGCCTGCACCCAGAGCGTGTGAGGCCTGTTTGGACATGCTCTCTGTGTGGGGAGGCAGAGGGCCGGTCTCATAGTGCACTCTGGAAATGCTGGCTCCACCTTAACGATGGCCCAAGGGGCTTCCAACAGAGGCCTGGCCTAATTCACTCAAGATTAGCTAACCCTCGACCACAGGGAGGACTTCGCTCCACCAAACCCAAGCATCTTTGGTAGTTTCTCTTCTCCCAGCTTTGGGGAGCTCAGTCACCGTCCCCTCCAACGTATCAGAGACTATGAATTGAAACACGATGCCCGCAGTGCCCACCAGAGGTTCTTAGGTTCTGTGACATATTCAGACTCACAAGCTTCCCAGAAGCCACTCTGGGCTCTCAGTGACTCAGATTAGCACCGGAGGAATCGCTGCCAGCCAGAGTGGCAGCATCAAAAGTTCATCTCCAACCACGCCGTACGAGTGTCAACACAGGATTTGGGGGTTCATTGATGTGTCCTATTTTATGCACCAATTAAAAATGAGCAAATGAAAAAAATAATAGTAAATGAGTAAATGAAAAGTTCACGTCATGGGTGCTCGGGTAGCAGTCAGCTTAGGTGTAAGGAGTTGATAGCCACCTCAGACAGGGGAAGCCCCTTCTTGGTATAGAAGTCAGTGTCTTTTGTAATAACGCCACATGTGTAACATCCCAGTTTCATCACAGAAGGCAAACCCAGCTCAAAGAGTCACCACACTCAGAGAGGCCTTAAAACTGGTTTCCCACCCTTGAGTATTTAGGCACTCAATATTGTAAAACATGCTTCATTCCCCACATTTGGACAACAATTGATAGCACCAAAATCCCCGACTCCGGGGTGCATTGCTCCGGTATTTCACAGCTGCCCCCCTCTTGAATGGAATCTCCGATGCGAAGGTGACTGTGAGAGACTCTTCACATGATTGAGGTATATTGAAAAGATAAAATATCCTAATGCTATCTACAGCACAATAGCATTTCTCATCGGATCATTGGTTTTACTTGTGACTGCACACGTGGGTTAGATCCGCAGATGCATCTGAGAATACCTGGCACTTGGTAGGCATTCTCCGGACCTGTCATGCATTTCCTGAAGTGGGAGGTGCACCCAAATGACTTCCTGGGCCACAGCTCTGCCTGCGGTCTTCTAAGCCGTGTGACACAGAGCTCCATGCAGAATCATTGCCCTTTTAGCATTCATTCCTACACCACAATCTTACAATAAACACAGTGCTTTCTAGCCAGAGCTCAATAGGCAAAAATGAGGTAGACTGCACAGCCCCCAAACTAGGCCAGCGAATCAGCTTTCCAAATGCAGCTAAGGGTGGGGCCCGGCCAGCCCCAGGCAGGGCACTCAGGAGCCTTCGCGCTGCTGGGCTCCTTCCAAGGAGACCACACAGGACACTGAGAGTCACTCTGCGGCATAAGTGAGGCTGGGGGGAGCCCCTCACTAGTCCTCATTGCTCACATGGGCCCGGTGCCGCAGAAGGATCGGGAGCCTAGCAGAGGGCCTAACCCTCAGGCCTTCACAGCCTGGCCGGCTCCCACCCTTACAGGCACAGCCTCACTCTGCGCCTTGTGTTTTCTCTCTCTCTGCGGAAGGCCTCTTCCTCCATCTTCACTGACTGATAAAACTCTTGCTCATCTACCCAGCTCCAGGGCTGTCTCCTCCATCACGCCTTCCAGAACCGCTGCCGACCCAATGCTCTTTCAGCACTCAGCCCAGCTTCCACATATGTTTTGTCCATGGCTCTGTGTTCATCTGCCACCAAGGCCTAGCAAATACAGGACACTCAGTGTCAAATATTTGTCTCCTTGTCCTTGCCAACCCCTGACGTAGCCTAGTTGGGCATTGACAGTCAGGCCCCAGGGTTGGAGCTGGTTATGCCGCTTACTAGCTATGTGACTTTGGAAAAGGTACTTGCCTCTCATTACCCAACCACTGAACAGGGGTTGTAACAGTGCCTACTTCACAAGCATCACAGGAACAAAAGGGGTCAACACACGTGCAGCACTAAGAACCGTGGCTGGTGTGCGTGCTCTGTAATATGCTATTGTTGTTACTGGTTTTCAGGCTGTCCCATCCTCATTCTTTTTTTTTTTTTTTTTTTTTGTACCAGGGATTACACTTGGGACCTTGCCCTTGTCAGGCAGGTGGCGGAACCACTGAGCTAAATCCCCGGTCCCCATCCTCATTCTTTAACCTCACTTTTTGTACTATGAGTGGCCAGTGGGCAACAAATCAGAATTCTCAGAAAACATTTGGAGGGGGCATCAGACATCCCAACCAGACCTCACTTTCCTCATAAAAGTGGATGAAAGACAAAAACCTCTCACTGTACCCCCTCCCCTTGATGTCTTAACTGAAGAAATTTTCCAAAATCAAAAAAATGGATTGGTCACCTTTCTTATTTTGTAAAATTGCTGCCAAATAAAATGTTGATTACTTGAACAATTGTGCAAAGTTTTATGCACCGCTGACAACCGTTTAGCATTAGTTAATGTAGGTACAGAAACTGAGGGTGTAGCTCAGTGGTAGAACTCACCCTTAGCACATGAACAGCCCTGGGTTCAATCCCAACCACCATAAGTAAATAAGCAAATTCTTACAGTCGTGTATTTTAAGACCTTTGAAAGGGATAATAATATATTTACAAGGAAAAATAATATGATCTCTAATAATCCAGTAAAAATAATAGATATTTCAACAAGAGTGAATTACATAGCATGCCCGTTCCCCTGGCACAAGTGTGAGGAATGAAGAGACCAAGAAAAAAAAAGGGCACATTTTTTAGAATTTGTGCAACAGAAGTTAAGGATTACAAACAAGCCTTTTAAAAGAAAGGCCCCACAGGAAGTTGTTTCAGCAAGCCATAGGAGACAGCGCCACCTACTGGCCATAGAGTTTGCCCAGCCTCTAGGAAGCAGGAAGAGACTCTGACAGGCGTTGTGCTGATGGAAAGGAAGCGGGCTTGAGTCTACTAACTGTCCCCGAGGGGAACTGGTGACTGCACCCCTCAAGGACACAGGGAGAGGGTGCTTCTGCTGGGGGGAGGTTAGGAAAGGCAGCAAGGAGATGACAGCCTAGGTGCTCTAGCTGGATGGAGGTTTGTATTAGATGCTGTGGTCTAAATGTACGCCATGGTGGGAGCACACAGCAGAGGAAACTGCTTGGCTCATGGCAGTCAGGAAGCAAAACACAGAGGCAAGGGGCTGGGGGCCCTTGTTCCCTTCAAGGGCATGCACCAGTGACCTAGCTTTCTTCCTCCAGGCCCCGCTTCCTGTGCCTGCCACCTCTGTCTGTCAATTTTACCGGGATAAAATACTCACACCTACAATCTAAGAAGGAAAGGTTTGTGTGGGTTCACAGTTTGCGGCGGTTTCAGTCCACAGTCTGCTGGCTCCGTGACAGGGTGGTGGAACAGAGGAGAAACTGCTTGTGGGTGTGGCAGCAGGAAACAGAGCGATCAATGGAGGAGGAGGGAGGTAGACCCTTCCAGGCCATGCCCACAGTGACCCACCAGGCTTCCCCTTCCAACTTCAGTTGGCCGTCATCTCATTGGTGCACTAATTTGCCAGTGTGAACCACAACCCCATGACCTAGACGCCTCCCGAAAGCCCCACCTATGGGCGCATGAGGCTTTGTGGGGACATCTAGATACAAACATAACATACTTTCTATAGCAACACAGTCTAGGGACCTAGCCTTGAACACAGGGGTCTTGGGGGGGCGATATTCAGGTGTTATATCCTAATGCCCAATGTGATGCTGTTAGAAAATGGGGCATTTGGGAGGTGATCAGGTCATGAGGGTAGAGCCTTGTGAATGGAATTAGTGCCTTATAAAAGAGGCCCGAAAGAGACACCTTGTCCCAGCATTTTAGGTTACCATGAGGAGACCGCCGTTTACGAGGGAACAGGTCCTCACCAGACAACAACTCTGCTGGCACATTGATTTTGGACTTCCCAGTTTCCAGAACTGCAAGAAACACAATTTTGTTGTTTGTAAGCCACCCGGCCAGCAGTCATTTTATTATAGTAGCCAAAACAGACCAAGATGTTATGTCACCAGGCAGCTGGCCCCGATGCAGAGGAGCTGGCCCCTCGCTTCCTTGGTTCTTGGTTCTTTGTGCACTTGATGAAAGAATTCAGTCAAAACACACAGGCAGAATTTATTGCAGAGGAGATCTGCACAGAATTACATCTGCAAGTGAGGAGGGCAGCACGTTTTTGTGCATACAAAAGTTACTCTTGGGGTTCAGAGAACTAGGATAATTGTGATGCTTATCGACCTTTCACTTAGAGGTTACTGTGGAATTGTAAAATGCCTTCCTGTCCTTTTTCAAGGTCAGTCTTTCCTCAGGGGCTTTAATAACATAAGAAACTTGTGTAAGATAAGTTCTTAATTTAAACTAGGTCCCAGCCTAAGGCAGGAGGGTCTTTAAAGAACATTTCTTTTCCTGACATCATTGAGCAGTAGGCTCTGCCAGCCAAGAACACTATATGCCTGATTTTGGAATTGGACAGGCAGGTGGCTGGGGACCAGGACTGTACCCAGCGTTACATGTCCTTGTGCTCTGTGGGATCACTTTAGATCTCAGAACTAACAGATGATTACAAATGTAGCATACATTGAAGTCTTTCTTACCTGTTTTGGACTCCTCTCCTCCCCTCGTCCCTCAGGCTAATGCCTAACTACCTGCCTAACAAGCAGCTGAGAGAAGGGGCCTCCCAGGTGGAAGGAATCAAGAAAGAGCAAGGTAGCAGAGGTGCAGTGCACTAGGTCAGGGGCAGGAGGTGACCGTGTGCAGCATGACTGTCCTCAGTGGAGAACCCCTGAGAGCAGTAAGCCAGGACACGTCACGACCAGACCCACATCTGAAGACACTCATGCTGCTGGCCCTCCGAAGTTGCAGGACAGTGGTTCAGAAAGCTCTTGCAAAGGTACCCACACGCAGAGATGAATTATAGGCCATTTAAGAATCAAAAGTGACTGTGGATACAAAAGCCACTTTTATAAATCTCCCACTTAGATATGTCTAGAACATTATTTTTATTCCCATGGTAGTAATGAAAGTCTCTGTAGGAGGGCCTGTGAACCTGGAACTTGCCTGGCTGGGGACCTCTGAGAAGCAGCAGGAGCTGGCACAGGGGTGTCAGATCAGGCTCTTTAGAAACAAGGTTCCAGGATAAGGAAGCAACAGATTGGAAATGCCACCTGTGCTGGCCAGGCTCAGTGTCAGCCGACTGGGAGCTGTGTTTACATTAGCTCTGCTGCTGTCACTGACTAGTTCATGGCTGATGGCTTTACTGTGGGCATCAGTAGCTCTCAAAAGTTTCTTTTACTCCATTCAGCATCTACCCTGGAGCACACAAGAATAAAAAAAAGTGGCATTGGTGAGGATGCTTTCAGCTGCAAATAACAAATTACTGTGAGAGAGGAGACCACCCCTCTGTATGAAACTGGGAAACTCTGAGTTAACTGTGTTACTGATGGACAACCATGTGTTAACTAGGTGACTGTGCTCTTTGTAGAATGCACCTGCATAACCATGACAACTTCTCTAATCTGTCACCCAATGGAGTCAGTGGACTCAAAGTCCTGCCTGGACTCTGCTCTCCCTGCCTCTGCTGCTCTGCTTCGTGTGAATCCTGCTTGCTCTATGCCCAGGGAAACACCAATGGAATTAAGCTTCGTAGATGTACAAAGGGTACATAAGGAAGCACAGACTTCTATTTGAGGCTCTCGAGGCTGATAGGAATCACTCAAAAGCTACATTTTGCTCCTTTCTTTGTGTTATGAGTTGTCTGTCTCTGGCTAGGGATTTGCTCAGTGGTTCTGCTGCCTGCCTTGCAAGTGCAAGGACCTGAGTTCGATCCCCAATACCCAGTCTTCAGTTTCCTGCTTCATTTGATTGGCCGAACAGCAAAGGAAAGTCCAGAAGCTGCAGGGAGGAGACAAGCAGGGCTCTAGCTCCATTTCTCTGGTCTCTCAGCTCTGCCCCTCTCTGTGGCTCAGCTGTGCCCTTAGTAAAACCCCAAGCTCCCTCTGCAGAATGAAGTTTCTCTTCCTCCAAGCCTCCTGACAAAGCTGAGGCCTTATCCTAATTTAGGCCATGTGTGCAAAACTGTGACAAGGAGGGATGGGATTTCACTGATGGGCATGGACCAACCTGGGCCAACCCCGGAGCAGGCATAGGTTTGGTCCCATCCAGAATGCTTGGCTGCTCTGTCATTGTGCAGGAGTGTGTGTGTGTGTGTGTGTGTGTGTGCGCGCGCGCGCGCGCACGACAAATGTGTACAACACGTTAAAATATCACCTTGGGTAATCTAACAACCACTAATGAGGACAGGTGATGTCAGTCACTCTGGTTTGTTATGCGTCACATTTGTTATTCAAAGTGAGACTTGTTGCTGTGTACACCACCAAAATCCCGAAGCATAAGAATTGCATCTATCAAGGACATTTTATTGTAACTACAAATAATAATAACAAAAGAGGAGAGCAGACATTAGACATATACAAGCACACTATTTACACTTAAAAGCCGCTGGATGTGGTGGCCCTAGTCTGGGGGGTGCTGGTGGCCACAGCTAAGCCTTTGTCACCAGGATAGTCTGGGGCCCCGGTGAAGTAAATCTACAAACTGCGGCAGGCATGCAGCACCCCTGGACTCTGGACACAAGTTCCCTGCCATCACCAACAGAAGGCCTGTGATTTCAGAGTGTCCTCAAGCCAACTCCTGTTTTGTGTCCTTTCCTCAGCCCTGGCCGTGGGAAGGGCATGTGCTGGAGAAAGGGTCCCTTTGCTCACGGAGAAAGGGAACCCATGGCAGGAGGTGGAGCCTGCTCCCTCCTCCCTTACTTGTCTTCCCAGCACAGCTTTTGGCTTCTGTCCTACCTCCAGTCATGTGTTTTCTTCCTACATCTCCTACCAACCAGCATTTCAAAATCTCCAGAATGTACACTGCTCTAGACATCGCTAGTCCACATTTTCTTTTATTTATTTATTTTGCAGTAATGGACGGTGAACCCAGGGGCCTGGTGCATGCTAGGCAAGTATTCTACCACTAAGCTACATCACTGAAACTTTTAATTTTATTTTGAGATGGGATCTTGATAAATTGCCCAGGCTGGATTTGAATTTGCAATCATTTTGGCTCAGCATCCCGGGTAGCTGGGATTACAGGGATACTTGCCTGGCTTTAGTCCTTCTCATTAACATCAGAAAGTTCCTGGATTCCCAGTAAATCTTGAAAAAGCCAAAGTCATGTCCCTTTCCTGTCTCTTCAGGGTGAGGCCAATTCACAAGCTCCTAGCAATTCAAGGGTGTGGGGGAGACAGACATGGTGTCACTCTTCTCACCTGTCACAGAGCGGACTTGAAAGCTGGCATATCTGCCCTTTCCCAGGACCTCCACTGCTTATGGGTGAGGTCCCCAGGAGATCTCCAAGCTGTCAACTGCAGAATTCTCCCTGGGATACGTACAGTACTGCTGGGGGCTCTCCTCTAGGGAGCAAACAGTGGGACCCTACCAGGGATAAACATTAAACCAAAACAAAACAAAGCTAACCACTGTCTGGGTACTTCGCACTGATCAGAGAAGAATCACCTGTCCTACAAGTGCTAACAGCCTGTGTGTGCATTTGGCTTCACAGCTGCTTCTTTAGCAAGACATAAGTGCCTTGCACCATTCAGGTCCTGTTCTGAGAGGTCCGCAGGTGTCAGGTGGGTGGGTCTCCACTCGTGCTTCTTCTCCAAGTCCTTCTAAACATTCAAAATAGTAGCTTGTACATTGGGCTAGGGCTGTGGAGGCTCCACATTTTCATCGTTCTAGACAGAGAGAGAGAGCAGAAGAGACAAAACTGTTAGAGGAGAAACAGTCCAACAGAAACATATGAGAAAATTTAAATGCATAAATTATACACATTATTGAATTTTTTCACTTTCTTCCTGTCCTTCCTTTTTTCTTTGTTTGTTATTGTTTTGAGGGTTTTTTTTTCCCCCTTTCTTTCTTGCTTTTCTTTTTCAGTGCTGGGTTTTATGTCCTACTGTGGAGCCACACCCTCAGCTGTTTTTTCCCCCCTTTAAAAATCATTTCTTCTGTTGTGTCTCTTCCGTTCCCTTCCCCTTTCCTGGCCCCTTCTCCTTCTCACCAACATCTTTTTTCGCATTGCAGCACCGCATCTCCCCCACACATGGTCTGTCACAGGCATCCTCCTTCCTGCCTGTCCCTGAAGCCATAGGAGCAGTGCCTGTGATGAGTAAGTACCCAGTACAACTCTAAGGAGCCTGGCTCTTCCCCCCACGCCTCCCAAGGGAAATGACACATTGTCACCCTCACCCACCTTATCTCTTTAGAAACTGGCTGTGTTGCCTTGAGGTCTGGAGGGAGAAGAGAGACTTTTACATTGAGCTTCGCCTTTAGTAAAAAACAAAGACTCTGTGGGGCCCTGCAAGGGTGGAGGAAGGTACAATAGCAGAGGTCCCTACTCTGACCTGGGGCATTTCATGGCACAGTCCAGCAGAAAGCTCTGACTCACCTGGCAGGAGGGCAGGTGCGCTTTACTGGCCTGTGTAGGGATTTTGGTAGTCTTTGGGAGCCTCCTTGGTCTTGACCCTGGGGAAGAGGCTCCCCTCAGCCGCCAGATTGCTGAAGCCGGTCTGCTGCAGCTGCAGGTTCTGGAAGTCGTTCTCCATCAGCTTCTGCTCTTCGATGTCCTTCTTTCTATTCTTTGATCTGTCATCGATACCAAGAATTAGGATCTGACAATGGTGAGAAGTTTCTTGAAGTGAACGCTAATGCCTTTTCAAAACGTTTTTACATTTTAAATCATTTTAAATTTATGCTACGTGCTATAATATATGAGGTGTGATAAAAAATATATGGGGATGGTTTAAATTTTTTTTTAAATGTGTGACAGTACAAGACACACTGTGGTCGACCAAAAATACTCCCCCTCCTTTTGAACACACTCATGCCATTGTTTTTGCCACTCTCAGAAGCAGTTCTGGAGGTCCTCTTTTGTGAGTATCACAAGTCGTGCTGCCACAGCTGCCTGGATGTCCTGAATTGACTCAGAACATTTACCTTTCACGGTCATTTTGACTTTGAGGAAAGGCCAAAAGTCACACAGTGCCAGATCCAGTGACTAGGACAGATGAGGACGGAACAAACTCATGTTTTTATAAGCCTGCTTCTCTCTCAAGTGGCATGGGCAGCAGCAGCATTCAGCATAGTTTTTTTTTTTTTTTTTTTTTTTTTTTTT